ATAAATCGAAAAAGTTGTCATCGTTGACTGGCAAACGTGTGTTGGTAATAGAGCATAACCCCAAAAATTATCCAAAAAATTATGTAAACTGAGATGCATAAAATTCATTTAGAGACATCTGATGTCCCCCAATACTCAACTTCTACTTAAAGTTACCCTTTAACAATGTCCACGAATTCTTAGTCTTTCTCATATCTAAATAATATTTTACTAGTATGTGTCCATCTATTGTCGAGCATATGAAAAGCATTCAATTGTTATCATTTCAGCATCATTACTATTAGAACCAGAATTGTATACAAATATAATTTTGTTTCATTGTTATTATTTTATGTTTCATTGCATAAAGCCATCATAATTTTTGTGCCATTATTTTGTATATAAATAATTAATGGTATACTGTATTCACAAGTCACTTTTCTTTCAAGTAAGTTTATTGAGACAAGAAAAAAAAAATACATCTCAAAGGGATAGAGTATCTTAGGCTATTTCTACCCCCAAGACTTTTCTTTCATATCATATAATTCGCAATTTCAATTCTCGGGCTGCTATACACGTACAGCAGCTCAAGACACACCTCTAATTATCATCATTATTATTAGAAACGTCTGTTAACGCTGAGAATCAATAGAATTTTTTAAGTCATTAGTCCATTAGAAACAGTAGCCTAATAAATATATTAAAACCAGTAGCCTATTTCAACTTACAACTGCTATTTAATATATGAAGCTGCTATTTTACTCAATGCTCTTCTTAATGTTGAATAACTTAATACTTATTTCAGCATAAAAATATGTAAAATTTATACTTTAGCCACGCTATGTAAAATTTAAACATAATTTAAATTAATGTCACTTGTTTACGAAAGCTACTCCTTGTAGGGCGGATTGAACGCCGACCTTCAGGAAGTGAGACCGTCGCTCTACCGTCCAGCCCAACCACTGGACGGTAGAGCGACGGTTTCGCTTCATGCGGGTCGGCGTTCAATCCCCGACCGTCCAAATGGTTGGGGCACCATTCCTTCCCCCCGTCCCATCCCAAATCCTTATCCTGACCCCTACCAAGTGCTGTATAGTCGTAATGGCTTTGCACTTTTCCCCCATGATAATAACCTTCCCTTCCTGCGTGTCCATGTTAGCCCATTACTGTTTTTTTTCCTTGCTGTTATTATAAAATTAAGTTGCTTCATAAATTTGGGATAACGTGCTCCATACAATTTATTCCTGGTAGGTTTACACGGTGCATGCATTATGTTTCGACCTAATATTGCATTGATTGATTTCAACGAGGCTATGTTAGGACCTACCTCTTGATACAAATAGGTAGCGAGAGATGCTTACTGCTGCTCAGTAGATTATTATATTACCCTTATGTAATGTATATATATTTCATTCTACTATCTCGCTCTGCTTTTTAATGCCAAGACCTACTATATTTTATTTGGAGGTAAATCATTAAACACAATTCACCTTCAGATAGACAATGTTAACATTAGCATTAAAAAATGATGGAAAGTTCCTTGGCATATGCATAGACAAGAGATTAAACTTTAGCATCCATATACAACACATAGCCTAAAAAAGTCACAAAAACTGTCGGTATACTCTCTAAAATCATAAATTGTGTTCCCCACTCTGCTCTACTTTCTTTAACTACTCACTAATCTATCCCTATTTAACATAGCTGTGCATGGGGTTCTGAACGTACACTCACTCCACATATTATCTTGTGCTATTTACATATACAAAACCTTGTTTCTAAATGCTAATCCTGAACTGAAACTATTTCTTGACAGATGTAATCTTCTGTAATGCAACCAAAAAAAATCTTCTTGTTCTCTATATCCTATTTAGAACCGAGTATATGCCAGAAAGTAATAGACCAGAAATAATTATGTTCTTTAATTGGGAAAATGGCCAAATTACCAGGGAATATCCACTGTTGGCTGAGCCCATGAACACCACACCAGAAATAAATATATATTTGCTATCTCTAGTCAGACTAAATCTGTGCACTTACCAACAAAAATAACAAAAATTAACATCTTTAAAAAAATTTGAAATTTAAAAAACAAAATTTGGTAAAAGTTTATCCACATACGTTATTAAGTGCTATAAGCATCGTGAAGCTTTTACAATACTTTGTTTTGGCGGGATTGGAAAAGAAGCCAAGATGTATCCTCACAATCCCAATGTACCTTCTTGTATATATATATAATTAAATAAATAAATAAATAAGCACATGCTGTTCTGGAGTCTGGCCGTGTATGGCGCAGTTTGACGACCAGACCTGCGTTATATTTCAGAAAAAAAATCTTCTTGTTGTTCTCTATCTCCTATTCAGAACCGAGTATATGCCAGAAAGTAATATCCCACAAATAATTATGTTCTTTAATTGGGAAAATGGCCAAATTACCAGGGAATATCCACTGCTGGCTGCCTGTCAGTCTACCTGTGTTCTAGTTCTCGTTTTCTGAAGCGTCTGTCAGCATCAGCACGCGGGAAATTATTCACTCTGCCTTGGGTCAATGTGCTCAATTCTGGTGTTTCAGTACTGGCCACACCTCACTTTTTCCTTAGTTAACCAAACCACACACTAGAAAGTGAAGGGACGACGACGTTTCGGTCCGTCCTGGACCATTCTCAAGTAGACTGAGAATGGTTCACATTCTAGTGTGTGGTTTGGTCAACATATTTCAGCCACGTTATTGTGATTCTTCGTCTGGATTCCTTAGTTACGTCTTCATGGGGGGAAAACAAGCTGTTCTCCCACAAACTTTTGAAGTCAGTATGCGCTATTACATTAACATACAACTTAACTGGATGGATGTCGCCTACGGCATATAATGTTTTTTCTCCCTAGATTGTAGTAAATTAGGTCTTGCTTATAATTACCAGTTTTTTGACCTCTCCGGCTATTTTGACCTAATAAAATTGTAAAAATATTATTATGCATAAAGATAATTACACGATTTTTGGCGTATGTGTCACCATCACTCCTAAAATATTAATTAAAAATATTAAGTTTGAGACCATTTTTTTGTATTTTGTATTTTTCTTCATTCATCCATAAATTTATATATATATATATATATATATATATATATATATATATATATATATATATATATATATATATATATATATACATATACATATATATCAGAATTTAATTATTTTGAAATTTTGTATATCCAAGGAGGTAGTTTATAATATATTTTGTTCCATATTTTCATCTTTCATTTGCAAAAACGAAACTTATTCAATAAATAATAATTAATAAATTGCGTTACGGTGACCCAGATCCGAAAATATTACGCACTAGAAGGAATAAGACCAACCACCCTCTGGACTGGAGAGCCATTAAGACTACCACAATACTTTACTGACCAACTACCAGTTACAGAACTCTTTAACGAAAAAAGCAAGAGCATCAGGCCAGATTACACTTTATTGACTAGTCAAGCATTTTTTAACCAATGTTGTATACCAGTCCCTGGCTAAATTGTGAACCCGATATAATTAATCTTAGATTACTCTAATCTTCTAATTACTCTAATGCATTCTACCGGGAGAGATTGATGAGGACGCCCACATAAAATCATCACTGAACTGGCGCACACCGAGCTCTGACTGCACAATTTTATCGTGAATCACAAATAAGGTCTCTAGAACATTGTGAAATATATTAATCGAGATAAGTTGAGCTTCTCAGGTCGCTAAACATTCAGTAATTGTTTCTGGCATTGGTGGCTCCTTTAACTTTATAATTCCTTTGTTCCCGGCGGGAGACTTCCAGCCACCGTCACTCCAGGTCATTATGTAATTACTGCTTAAATGGGACGACAACCTAAACGATCTTTTACTCCAGGGAGGCGTTACGACGCTGCTTCCAAGCCACCACCACTACCACCAAATTCCAGCAACCTAAACTATGCGACTTGAAAAAATTATGTAGATATGACTAGTGGATTGTCGCCGTTAATAATTGGCGTTAAGGTGAGACTGGTGGCCATTGTTTGGGACGGGATTCATATACATTGAGAGGTGTACCTCGTTTGTCGGTGTATATATGTAATGAGTTTGCTTTAGGCCTAGACTGTGTTTAGGTGTAAAATATTATTTGCTGATTGGACAGTCAGTGAAAAATTGTGATTGTCCTCAAGTCCAACACCAGACCAAGCCACTGTGTGCGATCATTAGATGGTTATGCCAATAAAGGTATCCCGTTGTTGGTGTATATACATTGGGTTTTTGTTAGTCTTTGACTGTCCAGGACTAATAACGCCTTGCTAGTGGTCAACAAGATCCTGTTGCGGCCATTACTGTCCAGAGATTGATGGGGATTTAGTCCAACACCACTCATATTATAGGTGTTATATCCACCGAGAGGGTATCCTAATTCAAGTGTTTATACACTAAGTATATATATATACAATGAAGAATTAGACCAGCAGGTCTAATTATGATGTTCTGTGGCGTAATAGCCATCGCTGCCGGCTCACAACTGACTCGTCTTGGAACAAATGAACAAGTCCACAAGGGCCGTGACGAGGATTCGAACCTGCGTCCGGGAGCATCCCAGACACTGCCTTAATCGACTGAGCTACGACAGGGTTAAAAAGAGTTGAAACCGAAGTTCTACTGAACTTACTGGATCCCGTAGACTCGTCTTGGGTTCGAATACTGGGCAGGGCTCGACAGGTTGGCAAGTCCCCTTACACCCGCTACCGTTGTTCACATAGGAGAAAATAGGTACTTGGTTGTAAGTCGACTGCTGTGGGTCGCCTTCTGAGGAATGGTCAACATTGTTCATATTTGAAAAAAAACTTTAATTTCCCACAAACAAATCGAATCAAAACTAAGGAGGTGCTTTTACTTGTCATATTTAATGACCTTTAAGGTCGGTGTAAACTTTAAGAGCACATCACAAAAATATTTTTGTGTTAATATATTAAAAATGAATAATGGGATTTAACATTAACATTAATGTACTTTCAGACGGGATGCCCAGTAGTGGATGGCTGTCAGCAATAACCCGACACTTGAGCCGCCCGCCCGCGTCGCCCCACGCCCACACCCAGGACCACGCCCACATTGACACTGGCCCGCCAGGTGGTAATAGCATAGCCACTGTGTCCTCACAGGTAACGTTAATCCTTCCTTGTGATCCAGGGCTGTGTTCTCTCCATACAAAAACAACAAGTATTATTCTTTTGAGGATTTATATACACAAAATATATAATTATTCGAGTTACGGGGTGAGTGTGATGTGTAGTATTTAGTATTATTTATGACTGGTTCAACTATAAAAGATAATGTCTGTCTGTCTGTCTGTCAGTTTGAGGTTAGATACCAGACTCTTGGGGCATGTCTCACTAGACTTTTGCAGGTTGACTGGTAGTTGGTGTGGGATGGTCATAGGGTTGGGAGTCGACCCCCCCCCCCCCATGGTCCTTTGTATGAAATGACAAATTATACCAATTTCCATTCTCACTAAATACCAGATTCCCTCCTCACTAAAATTCATCCAGCATTTTATTTGTTTATGTCATAACTAAACTTTAGTTTGCCTTAAACTTTATTCGGTAACAGAATTGTTGATTTGTGAAACCAATTACCGCGTAACGTGGTGGAGGTGGGGTTCCTTGATTGTTTCAAACGTGTGTTGGACATGTATATGAGTGGGATTGGGTGGTTATAAATAGGAACTGCCTCGTATGGGCCAATAGGCCCTCTGCAGTTACCATTGTTGTTGTTGTTATTTAAGATTCAGCTACTGGGAACAAAAGTTCGAAGTAGACTTACCTGGCATAGGAGCGGGGCTGTGCAATTACCTTAATTTTTAAGTCATAATGTTCTTATGTAGTGCACTGATCAAGACAGTGTGTAGTGAAAATGTTCACCGTTATGAATTAGTAAACCAATGTATATTATTCTTTGTGAAATTTTTTTAAGTAAAATTATTATTATTATATGTCCATTAAATAGCCAAATCATCCCTTCATACCATACCATCCCATACCATACCATACCATACCATACCATACCATACCATACCATACCATACAAATCATACCACCTTCCACGTGATAATGGATCAAAAGCAACCGCTTACGTGCATATCACCAATTCAATTTCTTTCTTTACTATGCACCTCATGCCCATCCCGTGGGCGGTGGTGATGTAAAAGATTACAGAGCACATAATCGGTTCAAGAACTGAACCCTCTATAGTTCGTTTAGCTAAGCAAATAACAATCTTTTGATGCATATCACCTGCAGGATCCCCGGAATGGTTCGCAGTCGCCCTCTCCGCCGTGTCGGCCCACCACATCGTGGAGTTTGGACACCCTGGACCAGGAGATCCAGCGGGACCACGCCCGGCGGGGAGGCCCACACCCCGCGCCTTCTACAGGCAACGGACCAACCTCCAAACAATACCATGTTCCACACGCTGGTAAGTTGTGCCACGCGGCTGAGAACCCTGCAGAATCAGAGGGGGTTTCTTGATGTCCTCATATAGTAACTTTAAATCTACTTAGGTCTAATTTAATACTTAGTTGATACTAATTGTATTAAATGTATGATTTAATACTAATTGACAAGTCTATAATCGACTTGAGAATGGTCCAGGACGGACCAAAACGTCGTCGTCCCTTCACCTTCTAGTGTGTGGTCTGGTCAATCTACTTAGGTCTATTTCGTATTTTTCTTGAATAGTATTTTTGCATTTAAGTAAGCTTTATTTTACCACAATACTGCTTATTCATCTGGGATAAGTTCCCATTTTACTAAAATAAGCCTACTAGATCCTCTTACATCTGCGCAAGATTTCCTTGTACATAAATATTACTTTTATATCTGGGAAAGTTCCGCTTCTAACAAAATTCGGTATGAAATTCAGGAGAAACTATATGAGCTTTTACTGACCTCACTTCTTGAATCGTTACCCCTCTATATAAGTATTATCAATTTTCTCTCGCCGAGAAGATGCACCGTTTTCTGTCTTCAACAGATATTTCCATAGGCCATACTCTCAAAACCTATAAATCTTTTAACTATTATTTACCTGAATATTTACCTAAAGGCCACCTGATGGTCTCGACGGGGACAGGAGGCCGGTGGCTTGTCAAACGTCCCCTCCCCATTGTTCCAGAGGATTTTTTCCAAATCTATCTTCCTGTTTGGTCTCATAATAGGGATCTCGGGTTCAATTGGGCACGTTTCCTTTCACCTAATACGGCTGTTCACTTATCAGTAAATAAGTACCCGATAGTTAGGCAACTGTTGTGAGGTTACATCCTGGTAAAGTTCACTAGTTCGGCCTTTGGGGGACCTCGAGTCAAGCTGTAAAGTAGATGTATTCACAGACTTTCTGCCCCAACAGGAAGCTTGTCTATGCGAGCTACGTTTATTATTAATTTAAAATAAAGTGCCATTATTTTTTTCCTTTACATAACTCGCTTTTCTATATATATACACACAAAGGATATATATTCTTTCAATTCTTCCTCCGAGGTCTGGCACTGTCACATTTTTCATCACGTGTTAATTTTCGTAATTTACACACAAAAAGGAATCTAGTTTAGACCCCGACTGCATTCAGTAGTCGCATACTGCATGCCTATGCGTACTATTTGGTCAGTCTAATCGGCTTCCAGAGGTTCATAGGCCTCAAGCCAAACACCAAATAGGATTCTGCAGAATCAGTATTATTCTGCACTGTATTAGTTTACTTCATTTATTGTGCATCCAGTACCCATTCTGTGTGTAGTGGTGTAAAATGTGTAAGCACATGTGTTCGTAGAATTGAATGGTGTGAGTGGTATAACGTACGCTGCCCGTCCTCCGGCAGTTTTAAAAAAATTCTAAGCAAAAAAACGTTTGTTTTGTGTTAGATTCCTATATATTTCTGACCAGTTCTGTAAAGTATTTGTGAAACTGAATACAATTGCCATCTTAAACAACTTCTCACGAAACATCGGGTTTGCAAAAGGAATAGACTTCAGTTCTTTATTATTTGCCTGTTATCTTGACCCACTGTTGAGAAAGTTAAGATAGTAGGTCTAGTTGTATTAGCACCTGTAAAATATGCTCTAAAAGAAAGTATTGAAATGTGCGAAATATTAGAGCTGAACACTTCTCGTTCAATCCTGGCGAATATGATTCAGGGCCACAGGAACAACACCGCAAACTAAACATGCTGATATAGATTTTATTTTTTTTTTTTTTTTTTTTTGCAAGGATGTACGGGCCCTAGGCCTATGGATGACCCACTAAGTGTTACTTGTTTCTGTTTTACTTGGCGGAGTATGAGTATTTATGACTCTATGTTCGCTTCGGTAAGATTATACTACCCAGTTTGAAATACTGAACAGCTTGGAGGATATTTATCCACACCACTGTTTAAAATGTCAGATATAACATAATGGAGGAGCAACGGCTTCAAGCCTACAATGTGGGACAAAAAACAGATGTTTTTTTTCACTTATAGGGATTATAAAGCCATGAAACCACCTATCCGTCAAAGCCGTAAATGCCAGAACACAGCTCCAAATCAAACCCCAGCCTGATAAAATCATCAGGACAAATAGAATATGTTTCAGTCATTACACATCTTAAAATTTGTAATTCTATTGTTTGTTACATGACACGGTTATAAATGTAACATTACTATGAATACAAACTAATCCATCAAACTACGCCTACTGTGAAGTGTTGAGTTTGTACTTTTTGTCACAATATCTTGTAACGTTTTTCTGCCCACTTAATGCTAGCTTATTCCTATACATATGTAACATATGTACAAGTAACAAGTAACATGAGTGATGTTACTTGCCTCGGAGGGAAACTTAGGGAGAGTACAGAACCCTAAGTGGTGAATTTTGATTAATACATATTTATATAAAAAAAAGGAATACAAGATCATACATGTGGTGTACCTCGGTGGGCTCGCACACTTACCTTGGGTGACTAGGGATAATATTAATGATAATATTAATCCCAGCATTAATGATGCTGGGATAACATTTCAAGGATAAAACCCTTGAACTGAACCAATATAATGCAGCCTATCATCTAGAACTCTAGATCACCTCACATATTATTGGAAGCATCTCCACATTAACCTCATAATTGATCATGCTAGAATTGAGGCTACCTTCTCATACAAGTAATAAAATCATATAAATATCCTCAGAAAATATTGCATATCACTTTCCACACACTATGTTCTAGGAAAACTGGACTTCATGTCTAAATATTACTGTGTGATATACAAGGTCTAAGTTAATATGCTTTGTCTCAGAAGACAACTAACGTCTTAACTGGTATATCTGGGCTGCGAGAAGACGTTCTCCACCAGGGCCTCCGACACGCCTCCCTCCGCCATTCCTCACTCGGGTTTGCCAACGTTCGCCCCGTGATACTATAATATCCAGCCAGTTTATGGAAAGTCTATATATATACATCTACACTGATATGTTTGTAGCAAATATAAAAAATAGTTCATTTTTCATTAAGAAAAGTTTGTCATATATATTACCGGTTAGCCATAATTACTTCCTCCATATAGGTACTACTTTGCTAGGCGGAGGAATAATGGTGCCCCTCGGTGGGCCAGTTCACAGAGCTGAAAAATGTTACAAAATCTGTTTCTTTGACATTGCTAAGGCCTACATCTTGGAAAGTCTGTTTGGTCTGTTTAACACCTTAAAAATTGGGGTTTTCTTCCCAATTTAAACTATTCATTATTTCATTTTAAATTAAAAAAAAATGCTGGAGTACCGAGCCAAAATAACCAACTGTCACACTCCAAATAGACACATATTTATATATATAACTAACACCATGTCGTGAATAATAACATTCCATTTACTTAGACCACAATATGATGGTTAGCAATTTATATGACTGGGACATGGATCACCTAACAACTTCATGTCAAAGTAGCACCACAGACCAGATATAACACCAGAATTTACACCAGAATAACACCAGAAAGCCTAAAGTTCCAGTTGGACAGGAGGTAAATGTCTATGCGATCCTTATTGTGGGTACTGGTGGCTCACTAGGTCGGGATGCGGACTGCCGCTTTTATGGCCTGTGCTCAAGGCTCTGATTGTCGCTATTGGGGCCGATCCGACTGAACTATGACACCAATGACACACACACACACATATACTCCCCCGATGTGTCATCTTGGAAAGTTTGGCGAGACCAACCCCGAGCGTCGGACTTATATTTTAGGCAGACATTCTAAATAGATAAATATCATCAGGACAAATAAGGGAACCATCATCAGGAATTGGGAGGTATTTTTGACAAGCCACCGATTTCCTGTCCTCGACGAGGCTACTAGAGAAATGGTAGCTCCTTAGGTAAATTCTGGTAAATATATATATATATATATATATATATATATATATATATATATATATATATATATATATATATATATATATATATATATATTATATATTATATATATATATATATATATATATATATATATATATATATATATATATATATATATATATATATATATGTCGTACCTAGTAGCCAGAACGCACTTATCAGCCTACTATGCAAGGCCCAATTTGCCTAATAAGCCAAGTTTTCATGAATTAATTGTTTTTCGACTACCTAACCTATCTAACCTAATCTAACCTAACTTTTTCGGCTACCTAACCTAACCTAACCTCTACAGATAGGTTAGGTTAGGTTAGGTAGGGTTGGTTAGGTTCGGTCATATATCTACGTTAATTTTAACTCCAATAAAAAAAAATTGACCTCATACATAATGAAATGGGTAGCTTTATCATTTCATGAGAAAACAATTAGAGAAAATATATTAATTCATGAAAACTTGGCTTATTAGGCAAATCAGGCCTTGCATAGTAGGCTGAGAAGTGCATTCTGGCTACTAGGTACGACATATATATATATATATATATATATATATATATATATATATATATATATATATATATATATATGCGAACAAGCCTGAATGGTCCCCAGGACAATATGCAACTGAAAACTCACACCCCAGAAGTGACTCGAACCCATACTCCCAGAAGCAACGCAACTGGTATGTACAAGACGCCTTAATCCACTTGACCATCACGACCGGACAAAATGAGGTGATAGCCGAGGCTATTTGAACCACCCCACCGCCGGCACTCGGATAGTTATCTTGGGCATAGCATTTTACCAAATCACCTCATTCTTTGGGGCACACGTGAGGAACACAAATGCGAACAAGCCTTATATATATATATTATATATATATATATATATATTATATATATATATATATATATATATATATATATATATATATATATATTATATATATATATATATGTATGTAGAAGGCATCTACTGACTCACATTACTTGGAGTTGTTTACATGAAACAGGTGCTGCTGCTCACAGCATGATGGAGAACCTTGGTCATGGCTCACAGTCTATCACCCAAACCCCAGCAGCTTCACGCCCTACCTCGGCAGCTTCACGCCCCACCTCGGCAGCCTCACGCCCCACCTCAGCAGCCTCACGCCCCACCTCGGCAGTGTCCTGTCCGTCTGCAGCAGCTCCCCGCCCAGCCTCGGCGGCCTCCCGCCTCTCTGCGCCTGGGCACTCTATGATGCGAGTTCAGGCACAGGCGATGGCTGCACACGACCCTGCGTCCTCGCTACCCCAGCAGGTAGGTTTCGCTCCGGCAGGTAGGTTCCTTTCCAGCTAGTAGATACTACTCTTGCTGGTAGGTTCCTTCCCAATAGATAGGTACCACTCTAGCCAGTAGCTACCTGACAATGAGGTCGGGACCACTCTAGTACAGAGGCACCTCGCCAACAGGAGCAGACAGTGGAGAGTGCCACTTACCTTTGCACCTACATCAGCTAGTTTGCTTCGCCCACGCCTTATCTAGACCTTGCTCCTCAGTGAAGTAGGGGCAAGAGGCTTCACTGCCATTTGCAGTGAAGCAAAAGAGATCAGAGTTTCCATACAAAGAGATCCGTCTCCATTGTTGGAGAAAATTCTTCTGACTTTCTCCAGCAAGAGTGCTGCTCCACCGAGCTCTCTGTCGTTATGCACAGTAAAGGTATAAGAACGTGAGGAATGCACGAGAAAATATAAAGTCCATGTAGTGGGATCGCACTCGCATTCCTCACCATTTTCTTATTTGTCATAGTTCTGTGCACAGCACATTACGTTCTCTTCGTCTTGCTACAAATCGGTTCTTATATAAGTGTTTTTGCAACCAATAAGACCCTTGGTAGCTATCAGCCTCACTCTGAAAACTTTATTGTCATATTTTAGTATTATATAGGCAACTAAAGAGTCCTTTTCCTGTATAGTCCTCTCATATTTAGAAATGTTGCTTCTCGTAAAACTTTTGATGTCATTCAGAGTACAGCTATTCATGTTACTAATTCCACTGATCGCACTTCAAGTGTTCAAGCTTTTCCCGTCAATCACAATTTGTGCGTCCACAACACTTGGTCTCTAACACTTGCGAGCAACGTACAACATTACTCTCACAGAGGCATCTTACAGGCAGTTTTTCCTCATGTTAATCCTGCTGTACAATGTTGGTCCAAGCCGTTTCCTTTTTCAATTACACAACCTTTTGTGTGGAACAAGTTTCCCGTAATGTCTTTCCTGCCATGTTCGACCTGCCCAGATGTTGCAATCTCTTTTAACTTGTGGAGATAACAAAAGTCTCGAGGAAGTTGTATGTCCATACCTGCAGCTGACATCCTGTTCGCAAGACTAACAGCGACAGGGGTCTCGCACAACAGCATTGGTCATGCGCGACCCCTGTCGCTGTTAGTACCCCCAGCAACATATATATATACACATAGAAGCGTACCTTGCTTCTCGGTGTAAATAACTTTTACTTTAGTCCTGAACTATGTTCATAACTAAAATATAATTGCTGGTCGGTCAGTAAGCTGTTGTGGTGGCCTTAATAATCCACCAGAAGTTGATAGGCCTTGAGCCCAACACCATACCAAGAGAACACATTTGAACACACTCGTTGACTTGATATGACAGATTATGGCAACATCCCAGACATTTGCTAACACTTATGCGTGTTGGAATATATGCTAGGTATTGGGACTGGAAAACTCCTCCTTTATCCCCACAATATCATTCAACCCACATCTATTTGTATTATACTTTTATAAGTTTAAAGAATTGGTATATGCTAGGCTATAGTCTGTAGCAGTTGAGTGTACATAAATTACCAATGTTTGTGACCATTTTTGGCTGCTGGTGACGGTGGTGGTTGAGGCCAGGTAGGGGAGGAACTACCATACGGGGGTTACCCTGGGGAGGAGACCATGGAAGCTCGGAGCCACTACCACATCCCCACGGTCATCCCGCCCCTGTACGAGCGCGCCGTGCCCGCCCCCACCCCGGCCTCCACCCGCTGCAACACGCCCATCTGGGACTGGGACGGAGAGAAGAGGGTCAGGTTCCTCGAGCCAGAGGTAACGTCTTCAGAAATCATTGTTTCTGTTAAGATTCAACGTGTTGATTATCTTGCAATAAAGTACTAGTTGATGCCTACTCGAGTTTCGCTAGGCTAAGTACAGCACAGTTAACAACAGTGTTTTTAATTAATCTCATCTTGGAATATATATATATTCTGATACGAAAATAATGCTAATAATTAATATTAAGAAAACAGTGCTGACATTGGGTGTTGCAGTCTCTCAACCACAAATGATAGTACTTATAGCAACGGTCAAACCTGCAAAAATTGACTGGTGTCCCAAATTTTTTTTAGCCTTTTGTAATATTAATCTGTTAAATTGCGCGAGAATGTCAGCAACAATTAAATTTAAGTTTTCCTAGGCCTCGTGTGTGTGTATAATATATATATATATATATATATATATATATATATATATATATATATATATATATATATATATATATATATATATATATATATATATATATATATATATATATATATATATTATATATAATTATATATATTATATATAATTTACTAAATTTGGTATAAGATGCGCATATTAGGCCTAAGATTGTTTATTTAGGCATGAAGCATGTTAGGTTGTATAGTTATTGTTCCAAGTTTCAGCGAGCCATTCAGAGTATTCCATTAGTACAAAACGTTAACTTTTTGGGGAACAACAGTCCTCTTTCGTACACTAGATCAATTGTTGCTGTAAGTACTCCCATGTTTGGAGGCTGGGTTGGGACGGATATACATGAATGACGTTGAATGTTCATTGACGTGCGGCAGGTAGTGGGAGAGAACCCGTCTCGACCGTCCAGCGTCACCTCTCAGTACTCTCACGTGCTCAAAAACTCCACCAGGTTCGCCTTCGAGTCGTCCCAGGTGAGGTGCCCACACGACTCAAACTTAGTATCATCTTAACTCTTGTGGGTTGTGATGAAATCTGTCATTTATGTGTATTCTAGTTTTGTGTTTGATAGGGAATTAGGTATGCTTAGGGGGTGCCTTCTCGCCATGCCCAGTGGCTGGGGGGATTCGTGCCCTGAAGCTACATAAACACCCTATACCCCCCCCCCCCCCGAAGTGGCAAGGGGAGTTAGGGGACAACATTTAATACATTCACAGACACTCCCTGACTCACAAACAACTGACTCCCGGACAGAATTACAAAAATACATTATTTGCATTCTACAATGCTCGAACTTCGTATTTTTATTAATATCTCAAAAATCAAATTATCTCACAGTACAGTTTGTTATGATTAAAACAATTCATATGTGATAAACTCGTATTTATATTCTACAAACCTCTGCATGGAACTCTGGCCTTATATAAATGTTTCTCCCATACCTCATCAAGTTAATATTAGCATAAGCCTTATCAAGTTAATATTGGCATTATAGAATAAGCGAGGGGACTCCTCTTACAGCAACTGTATCACAACCCTCCTCTCAGGTGCTTACGGGGGAGTTGGGGGGCCACAATCCCCGCTTCTGCAACTGTCCCTGCCACTTCATCCCACTGGGGCGTCGCAGTACGGGGGTGCAGGTCCGTCGGACCGACCCAGAGCCACCCCGGCCTCGTCACTACCGCCTTTTCCTCACGCCAACCACCCAGGGCCTCGGCAACCTCAACCTGGGCACCAAGTCCTTCTGCATGGTGACCCGCGCCTTGCTCTCCCAGGTGGGTGGATGTGGTTTCTGTAGTTATTGTGTACACTCAGATTTACTCAGTTCAGCCTCATGAATGTCGGAAGCACAGTCCAACCCGTCCTCCTGATAGAACGTCGCATCTTGACGTATACTCTTACCTAAGGCCAAAAATTGAACTGGGAAATGATAGCGGCTCGCGAAATTGACATGTCCCGTTTTCTGTTTTGGGTCCTCTGGTTGGTTAGGTTACACCACTTTTGCAAAAAAATTTAACTTTTATTACCAAGTAGAGTTGAAGCCTTGTGATGTGTGCAGGTGGGCTTGATGTTGGTAGTGGTGGCGTGGTGGGTGGCAGGGGCGGCCATCTTCTCCACCGTGGAGGGCGCAGCTGAGAGCGAGACCGTCAACAGGATGGCTACCCTTAGAACCGACCTGGTGCTGGGACTCGCCACCGAGCTGAGACAGGTGAGGCTACTTTGGCTTCTTCACATGTTATTAATCATTAGGATGTGTTGTCAAAAGCTCAAATAGGCACTCCCATCGGTCAGTTGGCCTACTACAGGAATCCAGCTTCCTAATAGTCAGTAGGCCTACTATAGTGTTTCTTTTAATTTCGTATACCTGTGACTGCAGGTACTGCCATACGAGGCCGTGTGGCGCACGAAAATAGAGACGTACATGGAGCGTCTGGAGACAGCCGTGCTGGACGCGGCGAGGGCCGGCTACGCCTCCAGGGCGCCTACATGGACAATGTCGGGTGCCCTCCTGTATTCAGCCTCACTCACCACGCTCGTAGGTATGTCCTCACGTTGTCTTCACCCACGTGAGCTCAGTGGTACAAGTCCAAGGTGGGAAAGTAAGAGAATAAGGCTCCCAGAAGCTTCCATAGAAACAATGCTCTCAAATTACTGGGAATAACCAACAATTGTAATGAAACGAGCGAGTGAGAATTTTCAAAATATTTGAAACTTAACAGCAAATTAATGCTGGCTGAAGATTAGGCTTTGTATATATATATATATATATATATATATATATATATATATATATATATATATATATATATATATATATATATATATATAACTGTTTACTAATATATTTACATAAATTTCAAAATATAATGTTAACTAGCATCCATGGCCCATCAACATAGAGAGCCTTTACCCTTTCATCTCAGATTAGGTGTTGTCTATCGTTTTTATGTGTTGCTGAGCTGTAACATTCGATACGCAAGAAATAATTCACGATACCTAAAACACCGTATTTATGAACATTAGGATATCTCTTACCGTTCAGGTTTCCCACTTAGTCAAGTTGCGACCTCCACAATACGTGATCATTGAGAAACCACGAGTCCCCCCTTTCACCTACACCGATCTCACTGTACTGTCTTCCACTTCTTTTAGATAATATCACAACATCTTGGAATCGCTTCATATTGTTAGAATGACACCCGAGTTGAACAACTCAAGAATCTTTCATTTTTCATTTCCTTAACTTCAGCTTCTGCAAGTGGGTTGTTAGTTTTTTTTTTTTTTACTGTGTACAGTATATCTTTTATCTTTTTTGTATATACTTTGAACAGTTCGTCCTCGTCAACATGGGCCAATGTTAATTCCTTGCAGCCGTCAAACCCCGTGTTTATGAATAAAAACGCTTTACACGACTCATAACTGATGATGTTCGAACATTTCTTGAACGACCTCTATTCAAATTGCCGCTCTGTAAATGCTTCCCATGTTCTACCAATACAACAGTCCATCCTTATCAACAAAGGGGAAAGCTCGTTAATCCAGCCGCCAAACCCCCTGTTTAATGTTGAAATCGTGCGTAAACAGTTTACCCTCAACTCAAAACTGACGGCGTTCCAACATTTCTCGAACAGTGGTTCGCTGACGACCTCTTTTCGAACCGAATCGCTATAAATGCTTCACCCACGTACTTAAAATACAAATAATCGCTAACAGAACCTAAACACCTAACCTAACCTACGCGTAAATATGCACAATGTAATAATATGGATTTATATCTAAGAAAATTCCTATTTTGAATGAACATCATATTCAAAGTTATGAACGCGTCGTTGGTGTCGGCCGCTGGAGGGAATGAATATAGCCTGAGGACGGGTTGCTTTGTATTGTGTTTTATTATTTTAGTCTTTCCAAATACATTGATTTCTATAAATATTTTAACTAGTTTTTATTCATATCTTTAGCAAATTTTTTGTGCTGAATAATTATGTTATATTTTTAGCACTGATGATGTAGTATTATTACCAAAGCGTTTTTTTTTTTAAATCTGTGAAGATGTACGTCTTATGTGTTGTATTAATGTTCTTCATATACGACACTAGCACCACATGGTGCACCTTGATAAATTATTGATCTATTTTACATCTATTTGCATTTACCATATTTTTTTTTTTTAATTTGGTGTGACAGTAGTAGTTTATGTTGCTGATCCTAATTGACCTCTGACCTCTATTAGGTCCCAGCGGCATGACTCTTCGCACAGGCTTCAGCCGGATTTTTGCTATTCTCTTCTCCCTGGTTGGCGCGCCGCTTGTCCTTCTCCTAGCCATTAGCGGCGCCTTCACTATCCGCGAGGGGATAGGGAAGGCGTGGGAGTGGCGCTGTGGATATGGAAAACAAGCCAGAATTGCAGATGGACGTGGCCAAGTTGTGGAAGGTCGAGCGGGCCAGTACGGCAGTGGTCGAGGTGGTTCAGCCATCAGCACCCTCAACTTGGCCAGCAGACCCCAGAGTTCGACCAGCGCGGGTGTTGGCCCCGGAGCCTCGGAGCGAGGTACCCGGGTCACGCCCAATGGTCCCGGGGAATTACCTGGCTCTATAGGGCCGCCCAATAGTGCCAATCAAAGACACCCGGGAGGAAAGTCAGACTTCCAGCAGCAGTCCCGCGTGCCAACCCTAGACTCAACTCTCCGTTCCACCAATGTTTATTCTTCAAAAGACACAGACCAAAGCAGTGCCTCCAGTGAAACTTCAAACAGTATCTCCGGCAGTGGTCCCAATACCTTACCGAGCAGCTCTCAGTATCGGACTGTGAGAAGTGAACAAACGTTTTCTGGAGGTGTCAACACTGCTCAGAGAGTTGGAGACGCGCAGGCGCCGAGGCGTAGCCATGCGGTGCCCTGGGCTATATACCTGGCTCTATTAGTTTTGTACATCATCCTAGGACTGGCCATTTTTGCGCCTATCCAGCGGTGGAGCCTGCCATCGTCCCTATACATTGTAGTGAGTACCTTGCTGACCCTGGACAATGACAGCCTAGGGGAGAAGCAGCAGCTGGGGACGAGCCGGATCATCGTACCGTACGTGGTGTACATGCTGCTGGGGCTGGTGCTGGTGGCCACGCTCGTCATCAGCGTCTGGTCCTCCATCTGCAGCTCCCTCGTCACCACCGGCAAGTACCTCACCGTCGTCAGACCCACGCCCAGATAACACTGACTCCACGACACCTATAGACAATTTTTTGAGACTATTTTTACAGAATGTTTATATTATGTCGTAAACCTCAACCGTTACTCCGATGCATTGATTTACAATTTTATAACTGTTTTTCCTAGTGAGGCGGGAGAGGAAGGGACTGGAGCCGGGGTGGCTCTCTGTCCCACCTTTGTGACACCTGGTCAAATAAAAATGACAACTAATTCTTGTCTGTTCATTCCCGTTGTCATTTTATTACTGATCTGTTTCGTTCACAGCTGTAATGCGTGTGAACACAGTTAACTCCTTAATATCTCAGCCTTCTACAATGTTGTATATTAAAATATACATCTTATGGTTTTTGATAATGTGCAACAAATTACATTTATAACAAAATATTATAATGAATGTAGATGATCTGGAGAGTGCACGGAGAAGGATAGCTAAGTTACCGTAATCACTAGCATTTGCCAAATTGTTTATGTAGAGCGTTTAAGAAAAATAATTAGAATTCAGGCGAAAATGAAAAGCGCAGCCATAGTTCTACAGCGCACAGAGTGCTCAAATGGTTTAGTAAGAGGGATATAAACTGCTTTATATAAACATAAAAGAATATATATTTATATACAGTTCTTTGAACGTAGCCACTTTTTACGTATTTGATACAAAAAATTGTCAATTGCATATGCCATTCCGGTTACTTTATCCTGTAGCTGTACTGTATCATTTACAGTATACTGTATGAAAAAATGTCGTTCCTGGATCGGCATCCAACTTATCAAAAATCCTTATGTTAACTAAGGGTTCTTTATTCAAACTATACTCTGATCATTCCTGAAAAACCTCGTCACGATCTCATATATAGTCCAGTAACAAACCGGAAGCATAAGTTTAGGTTCATTAAACCTGTATCACCCGACTGTGCAAGCGTCTAGTGTTTTATATTGGATAAATGCATTACTCAAAATCTTAATCTTTATCAAGTCACTTTTTTGGTGTTATCATAGTTCACATCCATTCTTAAAGAGTATGCATACACCTCTTAGGTGTACAGAATTCTTAGGTCTGTAATTTGGTATATTTACAAAACTAATTATCTAAAACTAATTAGTATCACCCTTGAGTGAAAATTATATTTTTTCATTCCTTAAGCTGCATAGATTATTTTTGATAAATTTAACGTTTGGTTTAATGGATAATTAACGTTAGTAATAATTACAACCTTTTATCTAAATTGATCTTTTATCTAAACTTATAGAAACTATAAGTCGAGCGTACAAAAATGAGCTGTTGTACTCCTCAAAAAAATAAAAGTTTTGTACTATTAATTTGGTAGTTGGAAAAAGAAATTAACAACAAAGCCTAACATTTCCTAAGCTTAGTATAGCACATATCTCTATCAAATTAAGCTAAGATGCCGTATATTAGGCCTACACTTGCTTATTCAAGGCTGGGATAGGTTAGGTTGTACAGTTTCTCTTCCACTTGTAGGCCGCCGTATGGAGTATTCCAGTGCTACAAACCGTGAACTTTTGAACAAGCAGCTCATTTTGTACCTACAATAAATAGTTAGTATAAGTACTATCATTTTTGGAGGATGGGTCGATTAAGGGAGTGATTATCAAAAGAAGGCATCAATCCTTCTTGGTGCCTTCGAACAATTACAATTCAAACAGGTCGAACAATTAACATCAGCGCTCAGGACCTCGATTGCAATACATGGGAAGCCTCCTGTAGCTTATGCTTCTACGATTATGATAGCAAGTGGGAGGGGGAGAATAGTCAATAAAACTAACATTATTTTAAAACAATATTCAATTATTACTTGGAATAGACTCATACATGTTGAGTATTTTAACACAATGTTAAATATAACCACCTCAAGTTATCCCTTACAAACTATAGCCTCAGACCTTCAGGCACAAGAGATTAACAATAAGGCTTCCTCCTCCGACCACTTCACCGTCTATCTCCAACCATTAATAATGCATCGCCCCAGACACTACTTCGCTAGGGCCATTAAAGTACCCAAACACCAACACCTCATAAGTTGAAATCCAAAACGAGTGTGCAATAAACTCGCCCTTAACATCAGAGGCTTGTTAGGAGGAGCTCGTAATGAACAGGAGCCCAGGAAAATCTTCCATGCCCTGGCGAGCAATTTTCCAAGTGGCGAGGAACTTAATTGAGCGAAGACTGAAGGGGGTTTAAAGCGCTTTGTTTCCGTGAGATGGTTGATTGTGCGTTGAGAGCGGGTCGTTACGTCTTGAGCGACCAGTACGCCGGCTGGCGGACCCGCGCGACGCCCACACTCCCTCCTTGGATATTGACAAGTGCTTCTGCCATGACCCGGAGCTTAGTTCTTTATTTATAGTTTAGGACAAAATTATAAGGAACTGTGAATACCATAACGCTGAGGAACACACACTCACAATTAGGTGAGCACACACACACACACACACACACACACACACACACACACACACACACACACACACACACACACACACACACACACACACACACACACACACACACACACATGCCAATATATGTTTATATTAAATATGCCAATATATGCCATATATTAAATATGCCAAAACTAGAAGACAGAAGAAAAAGAGGTGATATGATCACTACGTACAAAATAGTAACAGGAATTGATAAAATCGACAGGGAAGATTTCCTGAGACCTGGAACTTCAAGAACAAGAGGTCATAGATTTAAACTAGCTAAACACAGATGCCGAAGACATATAAGAAAATTCACCTTCGCAAATAGAGTGGTAGACGGTTGGAACAAGTTAAGTGAGAAGGTGGTGGAGGCCAAGACCGTCAGTAGTTTCAAAGCGTTATATGGCAAAGAGTGCTAGGAAGACGGGACACCATGAGCGTAGCTCTCATCCTGTAACTACACTTAGGTAATTACACACACACACACACACACACACACACACACACACACACACACACACACACACACACACACACACACACACAACAACGAATAGAACATTTCAAATTCAAAATCTTACTAATTAGTTTGGGCATTTATTTTGTACTTTACACAAACTTACATTATATCGAAACTTGAAGTGACCATCACCTTTTGATATTAATCATTAAGCCAGTTTGAGACAGCCAGCCATGACCCCTGCTTCCTGCATCACTCACTGCTACAGCTGGACACCACTGTAGTAGGCACTGCTGCTAAGGCAGCCAAGCTGGGTGTGGGCGTGAGAAAGCGTTAGGCTGGAGTGCGAGTGGGTGGAGCTGACGAGGGAAAAGTGGGCGGAAGGCCGAGGGTGCGAGAGTGGTTGGTGGGACGGAGTGGAAGGAGCCCAGCAGAGTTGGTAAGCTCTTGGTAAACGACCTCTCCAGTGGATAAGCTCCGTAGGTGCCAACGTCGAACTTCCCGGAGCCGCCCATGTGGTAGTCCAGGCCGCCGACGGCTAGTGTCTGCAAAGGCGATGGTGGTTTGGCGGTAGGCGGCGGAGAAGGGCAGTCTGACCGCCCCACGTGCTGCTCCTCGCCACCCACGGAAGCTCCAAACCCCCGCCCAGCCGTGGTCGCTGGGCGTGGATCTGGCGTGAGGGCGGCCATGGATGCAGACATCTTGGGCGGGAGCAAGCTGAGGGAGGAGGTGGTGGTGGGTGGGGCGGCTGGCGGGAAAGTAAAAAGGGCGGTGGTGGCAGGCGGCATGACTGGTGGGGTGAGGGGCGGCAGGATTGTGCGGGAAGTGGGTGTGATGGCGGTCGTGGGCGTGAGCGTGGGCGCAAGGCCGGCCGTGGGCGCCTCGTGCTCCCTCTCTCGGTCTCTCTTGTGCTTCGTACGACGGTTCTGGTACCACACCTTCACCTGCAACACCATAAAGCAAAATATAAAGGAAAAACGCTAGACCAGGCAGTTACCCGATATTTGCAACATCATAATGTGTCAGGCTGTGTAAGGTGAGGAATCTGTGGTGTGTGTGTGTGTGGTTATCTAAGTGTAACTACAGGTTGAGATATGCTCATGTTTTTCCGCCTTCCCAGCACTCTCTGCCATATGACGGTTATGGCCTCCACCACCTCACCTAACTTGTTCCAAAAGTCTGCCAAAAGAAAGTGCTCATTTGTTTCTGCCTCCGCCGGGGATCGAACCCGGGCCCTTAGGACTACGACACCAGAGCGCTGTCCACTCAGCCATCAGGCCCCTAGAGAGAGTGTGTGTGTATGTATACGTGCATGTGCGTTGGGAGCCTGTGTATGTATATGTGTACTCACCTAGATGTGCTTGCAGGGTCGAGCTAGGCTACTAGACCCTCGCTCCCATAGGCCCCACATGAGTGTATATATGAGTGAGGAGCCTGTGTGTGTGTGTTGGAAATCTATGTGAGTCGTTCTATGTGAGTGTCCTCGTCTAAGTATACCTGTGGGTGGAGCTTTAGCTGTGTGCGTGTGTGTGTGTACGTTTTGAGTGCACAAAACGTACACACGTATTTGTAAAAACGTATGTGTATGGCCTAACATATGTTCATAAAAGAGAAATAATATTCATTATTGATATTTTTATAATACGTATAGATAAAACTAATTTGCATTAAACAAAATCGCGCATGAGTCGTACCCATGACCAATATCAATATATCAATGCATCCTCCCACCAACCCAGTGAGGCCAGTTCCCCAGACACCCCCACACACACAGCTGCAGTTACTGTCCCTTGAACACACTGCTTAACTCTCACTCGACATTTTCCTGGTGCTCACCAGGCTTTCTCCCTGAGCCTCACCTGTGTCTCGGAGAGGCCAAGCCTAGCCGCAAGGAGCGACCGCTCGCGGCCCACCAGGTACTGGTTGCGGCGGAACTCCCGCTCCAGGGCAGAGAGTTGGTCCCCGCTGAAGGTGGTGCGGGCACGCTTGGGCCGGTCCAGGTCCAGACCTTTAGGGAACACCAGCTCCCTCACCTGCCCGTTGGCGTCTGTAACACAACAAACTGTCAGTGGTAGTCATATATGTGTTCATGTCTATCAAACCATCCTTGAAACTAAGCTACTATGGATGGCATATACACATTATAAACTGTTGTACTCCTTTCCCCTCAAAAAAATATTGGAATTTTAAAGAACAACAAAAAAACGACTAACGATTAATCTGTCCTGTCCTAGATCAAAATATGCAATCTTAGGCCTAACATACACAATTCTAGGTCTATGATTTTTTTTCAGCCCCTCTACAAAATATATTGTTTAAAACGTGGACTTTTGAGCAGCAACAGTTGATATTTTGTACTATCACCCATGGTGACTATGAGTACTGCAGAGGCTAAGTCACAATAATGTGGTTGAACACCAGTAACCCAACACACACACACATGTAATGAAAGTGACGACGATTATGTCCATTTTTGGCCCTTATCAGGTGGTAACCGAGTGACAGTGTGGAGGGAGTCATTATATGGAGGTGGAGTGATGGTGAGTGTGGAGGGATGGTGAGGCGAGGGGTAATTGTGAAGTAAAGCAAGAAGATAAAGTAAGCAGAAATGGAAAGAAGACAAACACGAAATGGAATAAGGGTAAAATAAGATAAGAGAACGAAAAGAGATACACAAAGAAGGCACAGAAGGTATATAAGAGACCAAAGAAGCAAATAGTTAAGTCAGATCACGTAATAGTTAAGTCAGATATATTATATATATTATTTGATCGTCAAATAATAAATAATATATATATATATATATATGTCGTACCTAGTAGCCAGAACTCACTTCTATGCCTACTATGCAAGGCCCGATTTGCCTAATAAGCCAAGTTTTCATGAATTAATATATTTTCTTTATTTTTTTTCTTATGAAATGATAAAGCTACCCATTTCGTTATGTATGAGGTCAATATTTTTTTATTGGAGTTAAAATTAACGTAGATATATGACCGAACCTAACCAACCCTACCTAACCTAACCTAACCTATCTTTATAGGTTAGGTTAGGTTAGGTAGCTGAAAAGGTTAGGTTAGGTTAGGTAGGTTAGGTAGTCGAAAAACAATTAATTCATGAAAACCTGGCTTATTAGCCAAATCGGGCCTTGCGTAGTAGTCATAGAAGTGCGTTCTGGCTACTAGATACGACATATATATATATATATATATATATATATATATATATATATATATATATATATATATATATATTATTTACTGTACTTTAATTAAGCCAGCAGAGGTCTGTGGCCTGTTAATCAAAGCTTGAATAGTATTATTTAAAATATACCATATTTAAATTCAGTTTTAACAACTTTATTCATAAATGGTTTTACATATAAAATTCAGTTAATTTACATGAAATATTAGCGCTTCATTTACAAAAGATATATTCGTATTAACAGCGTAACATGTAATCATTATAATTGTATACTGTATCTAGATTTAGATATACAAGTTTTATCTTTCAATGTTTTACAAAATTAAAAAAAAATCAATCTATGAGACAAGGTTAAGAATATTTCAATATTCCAAACCAAGTTCTCAAGACTTCAGGTGTTATTAGGTTCAATGTTCTTATTGATCATTATTGTTATTCTTCTCTAGACTCATTGTTAAATATTTCTCGATTAATTGCGTTATTGGTCAGTTTATTTCTCGCTTCATTGTCACAATATTTATCAATCTCATCTAGGAATAATATGGCAATAATTTTGTGCAATACATTTTTTTTAATGAATAATTTTTGGCAATTGTAATGTGTGTATTTCTATTATTACACGATATTATCTTTCGATGTTGCATTTATATTATGTATATCAGTCTAAAACGTGATCACCAAAGATACCTTATTTACAAGATGGTATTTTGATCTGTATTCCTTGTATGTTTATTACTTCACACACACACACACACACACACACACACACACACACACACACACACACACACACACACACACACACACACACACACACACACACACACACACACACACACACACACACACACACACACACACACACATCAATTAGTACAGTCTCGTAAATGGAGAACATATTGACTGTTTAATATTATGTAACAAATGGCCACCATCAAGCAATGGCCCCATTGTGAGAGAGCTTCATGCTACCCACCGCCCGTCAGGGAGGAGATTCAGACGAGTTGGCTAATTTAATCCTCTTCTTCACCTGTAAACCCACACCTCAAGCCTTATTTTGTTAGTTCGGTTATCCTCTTAATATTAGTCACGTTCTTAATTACAGCGAGAGTTGATCCTCTTTGTGCGCTGGACGGGCTCATTAAAGGGTGTTTGATCCTCTTAGCTGATGGGGAGTAGATGTTCGCGGGTCCTCCAGTCGACATGGATTAGCCGATAGTCATCTGTTTCTCTCCACTGAGGTATGGAAGATGACGCCGAAGGAACATGCTTTCTCAATATGGATTAGCTGAACCGTTAAGCTGTTTTTATTATCATATGTTTTACTAAACAACACCGGGAATAATAACACACACAGGATGTACTCAGATCTCGGTACTTTCTCGTCTTCTCTAGTCAAATGTATTTGAAGCTGTGAAGGATATATTGCTGAAGGTGAATTAGTACATTTGTTTAATGTACAGTAAAAATCTTATATACTATAATGATCTTGATATTGAGTAAAATGTGCAACAATGTAAGCAAACTTGCAGTATATACTAAAATATAGCAAATTGCAAGGTCAAAAGAAGGTTTTAGAAATATAAATAAACTCCAAAAAATACTTCAAACATTGATATATAAATGATCAAAACAGCTTAGTCTTGACAGCTTTGAACATTTGAGCTTAGGTGAAGCTTCCGCAAAATATTGTGTGAGTTATGTAGGTTTAAGTGCAGCCTCATCACAGTTAACTAATTAGTGCACCACCATTAATTAAATAATGAACTACCATCAAATGCTGTACTAAAGTTAATTAAATATAGTTAAACATCCAATTACAAAATTTAAAATGTTGAGATGGTGTATATTGCTGAGGATATATAAACTTGGTAAGAATCACCCCAATAATATTAAAGATTTGTTTATAAATTGTAAATACGCCATTTATTTGTTTACAATACACAATATTTAATTTATTTTTAGTCTCTTAGGTTTGAGTTGACTTGTAATTTGGATTAGATGAAGACTCATTTAAAAGTGCAATCAAAAAATATATATCTAGTTCAAAACCATTCACCAGCTACTCATTAAACCAATTTAGACACGTAATAAAATAGTGTAAAGTAATTTGGTAATATTGTAGGCGAATTTGTGTAGCAATTCGTTAGATCTGCACTATAGTTTATTTATTAAAAATATAAAAAAACAAAAGGAAGAGAGGATATAATTTCTGGAAACGTGAATAGTTAATTTAGATGAAATGTCAAGTAGGATTCATCACAAGGGGGAAAGGAACTTTTTTTAATGTCTCCCATCTTTTAAACATTTATGGTCTTCGCAAACCTCTCTAAACTCCCGTCTGGGTAATAGAGTTCACAAAGCTCTTGTGAGGAGAATATATGCATATGTCAAGACAATGTTTATGGTCATCTTAAACATTAAATATGTTTTACATTACAATCACCTTAGGGCACCAGTTCTAGACTGTTTACGACGCCAGGTTAAAAATTCGATGTCCAAAGAGCTTGGAAAAGGTGGCGGGAAGGAAGAAGAATGCGGAATGGAAATTCTGGAAGAGGATGGAGGTTTGGGAGTGAGGAGACCTCAGGATACATCATGCTTCTGGTCCAAGTGTTAGATCACGCCATCAATATTGAGACACCTTACAACATCCCATGAAACTAATCTCTCATGCCATCTGTGTACCTGGCGAGTCTGCTTGACTAGCCTAGCGGCGCGGGTGCCGTTGGAGGATTAGGTTTGGACGTGAAATTCCTCTCCATGCCTTTGTCTCTCTCGTGATGGGACGCAAGTTTACTTTCACTCATTTTCATTTTAATCTGACATCATCATGAATTGTTGGATTTTAATTTGGCCCAAATTACATATATATATAAATAGATATATATAGATATACCTTGAAGAGCTTCACCTGCTTGAGCAAGCCCGTGAGCTCCTGCCTGTAGAGAGGTTACCTCCCTGGGAGGATGACTCATGTAAGATCATCATCAATGAAATGGCAATGAAAAAATCCAACATGATACCACAAGAAATGAGGCACAAGTATCTCGAGGACATTTATAAAGAAGCCGGAGATGAACTAGATCAAATCTACACTGACGGGTCATCTAATCCTATCAATGGCAGGGCTGGTGCAGCATACACGGTAATCAAGGATAATACCTTCCAACGCAGAAATGAAGAAAAAGCACGTATTGAGAACTATGCATCTTCAACGCAAGCAGAGCTAACTGCCATTGTTATGGCGTTAAGGTTTCTTGAACGGAACACTAATGGTGCAGTGATTTGCACCGATTCAAAAGCAGCACTGCAAAGCCTAAGTAAAAATCAGGCAGAAAATCTTGCAATAGTCGCTGAAATCAAGAGAGCTGTGAGAGTACTTACCAATCAGGGAAGAGTCATCAAGTTTCTGTGGATCCCCTCCCATGTTGGAATATGTGGGAATGAACGAGCAGATGTGCTGGCTGCTGAAGGCGCTGAAGGAGACCATATTGAATACTTCATACCCAAGACTCAACTACAAATTAGAGGTATTATCAGGCAACATCACCGTGACAAGGTAACTGAGGAAAGGAGGATAGAAGCACAAACCAGTGAATCTGTACGATGGTACAACATGGTTGCAGCTGGCAATCCCAATCAGTATGGCCGAAGAGGAGGACGACGAGTGAGAGAATCTGTAATAGCGAGAATCCGTCTTGGATACAAATATCCATGGAGATTTGGAATGGAAACAACAGTTGATCAGCGAAGTTGCAGAATCTGTGGTGAGAGTGACGGACACCGCCTTGACCACTATCTACGTGAATGTGAACACCTGAGAGATATCAGAAATATGTGTAGAATAATAAACCCCACATTGTTTGAGTTAGGAAAACACTATTTGTCAAATATTGATACTGTTCTTAAAAGATTTCCCCATTTTGCACCCGCAAGATAACGTAAGCTTTTAAGGGTTGATAAATGTTAATCTTCTTGTTTGAGGAGCTGTTCACTTGAGACAGTTAAGCAAGTCCCAGCTGTGTCTGGGTACAAGTGACAGGATGAACAACCCAGCGGGTTTTCTTCCTATTGGGGAGTGTTGTACATTCTGCTATGGCGGTATGTTCACTCACAAGATGAGTGGCGCTGCCCAATAAACTCGCCCCTCGGGGCAAAATTTAAAAAAAATTTACATATATATATATATATATATATATATATATATATATATATATATATATATATATATATATATATATATATATATATATATATTCTTTATAATAAAGCAAGGATTGTTAGACTGATGCATCGGTGTGAATAAAATATTAGGGATTTATGAAACAACAATAGCTAAGTAAATGCCATAGTGAAATGACCTGCTAGCAAGCGACATACTACCCTACATCCTCACCCTAACAAGCGCCTGTCAGGCCAACTAGTTATAAAGCTAACAACTACCCCATCCTCCTCTAGGCTCAAGCTAGGTAACCTAAGCCTGTGTAATTACCCGCTGCTGGGACGTTGGCGCCACTGTCGGGCTTTGATTCCTTGCCCCCACTGACGAGTGTATTGAAAGCGTATTCAATACACCATTGCCCATTGTCCATTATCTGTTAAAACCATTAACATTGTGCATAGTTTGAACAGCAGCCCGACCAGCCGGGCAGTTCCCATGAAAGAAAGCAGTATGGTCACCCCTCCGACCCGCTCTCTTGCCCCTATTTCGCATCAATTCAATTGGCTCGTTTATTCATCCTAGATAACCACTTAAGATTAAATCAGAAACACGATTTTTGTGCTAGTGAGGAAGATACCCTTGAGAGGTGAGTAAGGAGAGGCAAGTGGAGGGTAAACTCACTCTTGTGGCGAGAGCTGGCATCGCGGGAAGGCATAAGGCGGCAGATGATACAATAATGGATCCAACCCCCCTGACTGACGCGTCGATGCTCTTTTCTTGACAAGTTTATTTAGCGCATCACCAGTCTCCGCCCACCGTGGCCGCCCCACACCAACATGCCCCCACAGCCCACACCAACATGCCCCCACACAACCCACACCAACATGGCGTCACAATCCACACCAATATGTCGTCACAACCCACACCAACATGCCCACACATCCCACACCAACATGCCCACACATCCCACACCAACATGTCCCCACATCCCACACCAACATGTCCCCACATCCCACACCAACATGCCCCCACAGCCCACACCAACATGCCCACACAACCCACACCAACATGTCGTCACAACCCACACCAACATGTCGTCACAACCCACACCAACATGTCGTCACAACCCACACCAACATGTCGTCACAACCCACACCAACATGTCGTCACAACCCACACCAACATGTCGTCACAACCCACACCAACATGTCGTCACAACCCACACCAACATGTCGTCACAACCACACCAACATGTCGTCACAACCCACACCAACATGTCGTCACAACCCACACCAACATGTCGTCACAACCCACACCAACATGTCGTCACAACCCACACCAACATGTCGTCACAACCCACACCAACATGTTACAACCCACACTAACATGACTCCACAATCCACACCAATATACCTGTAATTGTTACTACGTTACACCGATAGACAGAGCAAGAGAGACATGATAGCGACATACGAGATTCTACAGGGAATCGATAAAGTCGAGAAACAAGCGATGTCAAAATGGGGGAAATAGTGGAACAAGGTAAAACCGATGTTTGTAAACAAATAGCGCACGTTTAATGTTAATGTTGTTACAGCAAACTATATACAGCTTCACCTACACATTAGATGTTTGCAAAGACAGCTGGAAACGCGTGGCTTATGAGCTGAAGCTCAACCCAGCAAGCCCACGTAGGTGAGTACCCACTCAACCGTAAGAGGGAAGTAACAAAGTTTCCCTGAGAAAGCATTCCTGAGGGTTACTGTTACTTCAGTAACACTGCGAGTGAGGAGGCGGCTGCCAGACCCACGTTACTTCAGTAACACTGCGAGTGAGGAGGCGGCTGCCAGACCCACGTTACTTCAGTAACACTGCGAGTGAGGAGGCGGCTGCCAGACCCACGTTACTTCAGTAACACTGCGAGTGAGGAGGCGGCTGCCAGACCCACGTTACTTCAGTAACACTGCGAGTGAGGAGGCGGCCAGATCCTGCACTCAGTTTCTTGCGAATGGCTGCTATGATCAGATACAATCATCTGAGTTACATTCAGGAGGACAGCAGTATCAGATTGTATCACCAATGACACTGTTTACTCTCCGATCCGAGAGAGCTTAAGCTGACAGGTGGGCGTCAGTTGCGAGGGGGAGGCACAGAGGACCGTCTTACACCGGTATAAACGGGTAATCGCCTAACATCTACAACACACCTATTCAATCCTTTCATTAACATTTTCGTAACACTCGTCTGAGCCTCATCCTGTACGCGAACAAAAGATATGATAACTGTTATTGTGTTTCACAAGGCCTAGTTGGAGAGGGTGAAAAGGGTGCAGTCTGTGGTAAAATGGTTCCTTTAAACTGTTTTGTGATGCCACTGAGGGAAATGGATGAGGGGGGCGTGGCGAGCTGCCCTGTCTAAACTTGCTCTCATGTTTCAGCTTTGGCCACTTTAGTACCCCCTTCTCCACTAAGACAACCCCCCCTCACTCTTTGGAAAGAAATGGGACAGCTTACCCCCCTCATCCCCGAAATTACTCTTGTAAAATTGGCCTTAGTATTTGTCAAATTGGCCTCTAATTGAGCTCCTGAAACCTCCCACTACTGACGACCATTGAGCAAGACGGACCGACCTCGCTCACTGCAGTAAAGACGCTGGAGTCCTCCGACTGCCTGAGATTTTCACCACTATCTCCCCAAGAGGCCCAGCTTGTGAGAGACTTATCCCTTACTTTAAATACCCTTTGCAGTTTGTCCGCGGCCGAGATGGGATTGTGGGACTGTCAAACGATTATATTACAGTGTATTTTTCTATTTGTGCGCGGCTCCCTCCACGCTCTCAGAGCCATAAGACGCCCTTGTCCGAAGACATCCATTATGTTTCTCCTTTCCCTTCTTCCAAGGGCATTATCGGTTCATTAAGGCGATAATATGGGAGACAGGGTAGCGCCCAGGGCTCTTGACACAGGGTTCGGACACACCACAACAATGCTTGATGGGACGCCAGCAGCCAGCCTTTCTTGGTCGTACCCACAACCAAAGGGAAAATTGTCTCCGCATTCGTATGAACGCACAAAGGAGGTGAATGGGAGGTTACCCAGTGTATATACAATTAGTTTAAATTTCGTGAGAGGAGAGGAGCGTACTGAACACCCAGACTTACCAGTACCTAGAAATATACGCGCCAGTTTCCAAGGGTTGAGATACACTATTGGATTCTACAGGTACACTTACGTACACTTACGTTACGTACATTAGGGTTATACAAGAGAGCTTAGGTGTGTACGTAATGTATAATAGGATTATACAGGAAAGTTTGTTCATCATCTAGGTGTATTTTGTATGTATCGGGGGGCCTCGTGGCTGGGTGGATAGCGCTTAGAGATCGTAGTCCTAAGAGCTCGGGTTCAATTCCCGGAGACAGCTGCTATGGGCTGCTTCCTGGGGGTGTGTAACTAAAAGGAGGCCTCGTCGAGGACCGGGCCGCGGGGACGCTAAGCCCCGAAATCATCTCAAGATAACCTCTCAAGATAGATCTCTCTCTTTCTCTCTCTCACACACACACACACACACGCGCGCGCGCACACACAGAGAAACGCTAGAGAACTGTTACGTTACGAACTAGAGACGTTAGAAAGAACTTTTTCATTGTCAGAGTAGTTAACAGATGGAATGCATTAGGCAGTGATGTGGTGGCGGCTGACTCCATACACAGTTTCAAATGTAGATATGATAGAGCCCAACAGGCTCAGGAATCTGTACACCAATTGATTAACAGTTGAGAGGCGGGACCAAAGAGCCAGAGCTCAACCCCCCCGCAAGCACAACCAGGTGAGTACACACACACACACACCTGCATGACGCGGGTTTGGAGGAACAACCAACAAAAGCTTTTTGATGTCTTCTCTCGAGAGAAGTGTCCAAGAGCCCAGCAAAGCCTCTTGTCCAACACAGAAAAAGGTTCTAAATACAAACTGAGGAGAGGAAGAGCATTGTAGCCTCATAATGTTTTCACACATTTAAACATTTTTCCCGAGAGCTGGAATAAGGTGTTGTGTGGAGGAAAGGAAATAGCCTATTCTGGAAGCACTGAAGTAATCTGTTCTGAAAGTAAGTTAGTACCTTGAACCAGTGAACAAACTGGTTGTTATTCCTATTAACAACTAGTCAGACAACATCCGGTGCCTCGGCAACAGTACACTAAACCAACTCTTGCACGATTCTGACCCACCTGACTGTTTGTTACTCAACATTCCAGCTTTCCTCTCTCCTCCCTTCTATTTTACCATGAAGGACAATATTAATCTTGAACGTCTATTATACATCTATCAAAGGCGGGGTATCTCTCCCTGCTGGTCGTTCCCTCAGTATGTGATACCCAACAGGTCCATCCTGCCAACCATCATAGTGCCCTTAATTGTTGCGTGCAATACAAACTTTTCAGCCGACAGAACCCACCATCAACGAAGGATGCGAACTTCCTCCCATCAAAGAGCGATTCCAAAAGTATATACAAACGTTCAGTTCGTATTACGTGGCAATAATTAGTCACTGTGAAAGGGTCTCACCCGGGGGGTCGACTGGGAGCGATGCGTCAATACCTGATCAGGAGATTTTTCCGATCGTCTGACAACCATAGGATCAAACCCTTTGAGGCCCGCCATCGTGGGTGTTATTGGCTCAGATCCTCTTTGTGCCCTCCTCTAAGATGAGAACTCCCACGGTGGGAGTGAGGGGGCGGTGAACGGAGAGAGAGCTGTACCCTGGGAGATGGTGATGAGGGAGAGAACTGTGCTCTGGGAGGCTATATAACATGGGTACAGGCGAAGCAAAAGTACGAAGCGTCGGAGATATGCAGACAGTCCCCGACAAGACCTGCCCCTAGCAAGATGTGTGAAGTACTGCAGTACTCACGGTCACCCAGTACACAATATGTGGGAGGAACAGGAAGAGAGGCGGGTAGATGGGGGTGTCTGTACATCATATTCCACAGTACCCATGGCAAGCGCTTCTGTGTCCCCTCCTCAGCACCTTCACTCAATACCATCTCTGCCTTTTTACATAAAAAGCCACAGCAAATGCAAAGTAGCCTATTATATAGTGCAAGGGCACAGGTGTTACATTAAATATTTTCCTAAATACGTACGACTCCGAGAATGTATAACTATGGAATGAAGCGAGTTAGCTTGACCATCTTCTCTTGAGTTTGAAGTACTCTTGAGACCATCATCGTGAGTTTGAATCATTTAAAATACTTCACACTTTAGGAAATGAAAACCTTAGTAGACACAACTCCAACACCAGAGGGAAGAAAACATGGGCAGAGTAGCGCTAGCAGGAACTTGAACGAAAGAACTTTACGACTGAAATATACAATTTATATGAGATCCAGTCCTGCGTATACTGTCCGTGCATGACACCTCCCATTTAAACATACAAATGAAGAAATGGTCCGTAGATATGTTTGCTATTGAAACGTAGCAACAACAGAAAGATGAGATGTCAAGAGAAACTATATCAGCGTAAGAGTCGTAAATAAATGAAATATATTATATAGTTTTCGATACTAGCTGAGTACAGAGTTTTATATGTAAATATTGATAAGAAAACAAATGAATAGTCAATGCATAAATTCTTAATAATAGTCGAATAGCTGAGTTTCAGTGATAACACTCGACCGTACAAGTGTATCTAAGTTAATCAGGGGAAAGCGCCAAGCCATTACGACTATATAGCACTTGGAAGGGGTCTGGATAAGGATTTGGGATGGGACGGGGGAAAAGGAATGGTGCGCAACCACTTGGACGGTTGGGGATTGAACGCCGACCTGCTGAAGCTGAAACTAGAGTCTGGAGAAAGAAGTAAGCCAAGCCTGTCCCCGTATAACACAATTAAGCTGGCTTTATCCTGTGCACTACCGCACATGGAGCAGCTATTTCCGTGTTATTCTAAAGAGGAGCGTCCACCCAGCGGGGTAAAGAGTAGGGGCAGGTGAGGACATTCTTGTCCAGCCCGTCTCAGGAACCCACAGAGGGCGCAGAGCCACGCCCTCTCACTCACATGCCGCCCACAGAGCAGAGCCCTACCACCCACAGATTCAAGCGCCACATTTCCACCCAGATGCCGCCCACAAAGTTAAGCCCTGCCCTGCCCTACCATCTACAAACAGAGCCCAACGCCGCCCACAAACGGAGTCCAGCGCCTCGCCGCCCACAGAGCCGGGCGCCGCTCCACTACCCAGACGCCGCCCGCCACAATAGCAGCGCATCCCTATGTAGAAGTCACACGGGTCCGGCCATTGTTGTTCCAATACCTTATTCTCTGCCCTTGCCCGGCCTCCCCGGGGTAGATGCCAGGCTTCTCAAAGGACATCCTGGCTATATTATGGCTATTATACGATTCGTGGGTATCGTATCAATGGCTGTTTTATGAGGAATGTTTGACGAGTGACCCAAGGATTTTTTCTCTGTAAAGAAATTTCCCGCCTTTACCTCCAGATTTTAGTAAAACCAAAAGGCACGAGCCGACAGTTGCTTCACAAGCTTCAATAAGTAAAGTAGGCTGAACTTTATTACCGGTCAAAGTGGAATATAATTCACACCCAATAATATATATTTGACACCTAATAATGTGATAATTATATCGTGATTAACGGGAATTGTGGATTACTTGTAGATTTGTATTGAGCACCAACTTCCACTCGGCTGTCATCAAGATGCTCAATTGTTTCAATAGACGCAAAACCCCTTTGGTTATAAGATAGAATGAATTTGGGATATACAATTCGGGTCAAATCTGACCTGAAATTAACTTCATTCTCTCCAAGAAAAAATACATATATCACACGTAAAATTAATTTGTAAATTTTGGTGTTAGTTGGTTGATGATGGTTGGCTTGAGTTGCTTGATGTGTAATGCCTCGCCAATGTCCAATCTTCTATTGTTGCTCTATTTGTCTATTATTTTGGTGTTGTTTGTCGGGATATCTCTGGTGATGATCTGGTTATATGTAAAGACTATATATTCCTTGACAGGGCCTTGATGTTGGTGCATTGTTAGGCGCCGTGAATGGAAGGTTGTTGTCTTGCCTATATACTGAGATTATTGAGGTTGACAGTTCCCAAGTGAGTATCTGAAGGCATAGACAACATTTTGTCTCTTTCAGGGAATTCTGTTTAGTGTCAGGAAAGTTCATGAGCATGTCCGCAGTCTTCTGGCCTTTACAGTATTTTATTAATTAAATCTTCCGGTTGGTGTTGAAAAGTGTACAGTTAATTCCGACTTCATTTTATATATATATATATATATATATATATATATATATATATATATATATATATATATATATATATATATATATATATATATATATATATGTGTGTGTGTGTGTGTGTGTGTATATCACGAAAATAACACGTGATTAAGAATGTGACAATGTCAGACCACGGAGGAAAATGAAACAGGAATTTCCTTAAGTACTTTCGTATATTAAATACATCTTCAGAAGGAATCAAATATATATATATATATATATATATATATATATATATATATATATATATATATATATATATATATATATATATATATATATATATATATGTCGTACCTAGTAGCCAGAACTCACTTCTCAGCCTACTATTCAAGGCCCGATTTGCCTAATAAGCCAAGTTTTCCTGAATTAATATATTTACTATAATTTTTTTCTTATGAAATGATAAAGCAACCCTTTTCTCTATGTATGAGGTCAATTTTTTTTATTGGAGTTAAAATTAACGTAGATATATGACCGAACCTAACCAACCCTACCTAACCTAACCTAACCTATATTTATAGGTAAGGTTAGGTTAGGTAGCCAAAAAAAGCTAGGTTAGGTAGACGAAAAAACATTAATTCATGAAAACTTGGCTTATTAGGCAAATCGGGCCTTGAATAGTAGGCTGAGAAGTGCGTTCTGGCTATTAGGTACGACATATATACATATATATATATATATATATATATATATATATATATATATATATATATATATATATATATATACATACATATATATATATATATATATATATATATATATATATATATATATATATATATATATATAAATTAGCCGAAAACGCGTTAAGCATTCTCTATTTTTCAAATGTGGTTTTTCCGCATATTAAAAAAAATATATGTTTTTCCGCAAGCCACTCCCCGCCACTCCATGGCGGGGAGTGGCTTGGGGGCAGGGAAGGCCAGATGGCAACGGACCAGGTGAGAGAAGTGCCGTGGATAGAGGTGACCAGGTGAGGAGTGAGAAGTGACCAGGCAGATGGGTAACAACCCCACAAAGAGTAGACAACAATACATGACAAGTAAGCACTACATCAACGTAAGGTACACTACTGTATACTAGTGGAGCACACTTACCTCTGACTGTTAACGTCTGTACGTAGTCCGGAAGGCTTGGTTTACCCTCGCTGGTGGTGGTGGTGGGCGTGGGCGTGTGGGCGGGCGTGGTAGAGCAGGTCGGCAGTGTCGTGGGCGTGACCTGGGCGGCGCAGTGAGAGGGAGGCGGAGCTGAAGCCGTCGACGACATATCTGAAGAGGCTTAAGAACAAAACATGCTTATATTTTCTGATTTCCTTCGTGTAGCTTGTCCCGCTAATTGTAAATCAGTCACTAAACAATATATATGTGGTAAAAGATGAACTGAAAGGGAGTGCCAATTGGCTCTATCCACATCCTGTCCTCTCAACTAATAGGTCACTTTTTGTACATTATGGCAACACGCCTACCAAATGCCACCAACTATGAAAAGTTAAAAATGTAGTTCGGATCTCCGAACTATAGTTTAATACGGACCTAAAAATAAAAGCAATAGTGCATAAATGCTCGAAATATTTTCAACTTGGTACGAAGATTCACAGCAAAAAACCTTAATAGTAAAAAACACTGTTTAGGATATATATACACCGACAGGTATACCCTGCTTCGCGGCGTATATACGTGCTTGCTGGTCAGCAAGCTATTGTGGTGTCTTTAATAACCCTCCAGAGGCTGATGGTCCTTAAGCCCAATAGCAGACCAAACAAGTGTTATCCTTCGGCTTGATCTGGCCCTTGTGGGACCCCCACTTGGATAATCCGGTACAATCCTGAGCGTCGTATTATGAAACGGACGTAAACTTAACTAAAAGTAATACTGAGAAAAATAAGCAAACTCAATTTGCAGTCTCTCGGAAAGCTTAGAACAAGTGGATACAAGACTGAAATATGCAAATATATGAAAAAGTTTAAGGTTGATATGAATAAGTTGCTGAAAATACAAACCCAAGTTAGAAAAACAAACATTGGATTCAAGTAGGATAAATTTAGCTTTGGATTATTAAATATGCAAACGCTGGCTTGAAAATAAGGATGCAGACCTTATGAAAACAAGCTACAAGGTAACATTGTAGCAAACTCACTGGAAAGTTTGAAGCTAGTGTTAAATAAACTTGAGTGGAGAGAGAGAGAAGAATTTTAATGTCATTACTATCTTCTAAGCATAGGCTTTCAGCTGTCTTATCTGATCTTATGTTCTTATCCCAAGGACTCTTTTTTTTTTTAATGTTCTTAGCCCAAGGAATATATATGTTTTAGCCATGTTATTATTTTAATTCATTATATGTTCTTAT